TAAAGATTTACAGCCTCAGAAACCCTGTACAGGGTCACTATGGGTCAGAACCGACTTGATGGCACACAACAACAAGTTCAGTGAAGTACTGGATAAGCACTGGACTGCTGAGAGCAAGGTTGGTGGTTAAAACCCACAAGCTGCTCCTAGGAGACCCTATCCAGATTGCTATGAGTTAGAACTGACTGGATGCTACATAACAATAAAAGTACAGTGCTGGAGTCTGCTGGATGCTGGGGTAGATCAATAGGAATAACTGTTACTTGGTTCTAAGTATTCTGCACATTGCCGTATTTATGGAAAAAACTGAGAGGAGTAAAATACAGATCTTAGGATTCCTAAGGCTGTGCTCTTTCTTACATACTTAGCACTATTTTTCCTCCTCCTTTCTCCATCTCATTTCTCATTCCTCTAGGGTAACTCTGATCAGATTTCATGACCTAGATGAGCGGTAATATCCTCCAGCAGGTGTTGCCTGATCAAACTAACACCCCCCGTTGCATATTTCTGTATGCTTCCACAGTAGTATATGTTTACTCTGATGTTGTAGTTGTTAGTTACCATCGAGTTGGTACTGACTCATAGCAACCCTGTGCACAATAGAACAAAACACTGCCCAGTCCTGGGCCAACCTCACATTCATTGGTATGCTTGAGTCCATCAATGCTGCCACTTGGTCAATCCATCTCGCTGGGGGGGGTCTTCCTCTTATTCTCTGACCCGCCACCTTACCAAACATGATATCCTTCTCAAGTGACTGGTCCCTTCTGACAATATGTCCCAAGTATAAGTGACAAAGTTTGGCCATCTTGGCCTCCAAGGAGCACTCTACTGTACTTCTTCCAATACAGATCTGTTGGTTCTTTTGGCAGCCCATGGCATTTTCAATATTCTCCAACACCGTAACTCAAAAGCATCAATTCTTCTATGGTCTTCCTTATTCACTGTTCAGCCTTCTCATGAATATGAGGTTATTGAAAATACCATGGGTTGGGTCACGCACACCTTAGTCCTCAAACTGACATGTTTGCTCTTCAACACTTTAAAAAGATATTGTGCAGAAAGTTTACATCATGCAATACGTCATCTAATTTCTTCACTG